TCAAATAAATAAATAAATAAATAAATAAATAAATAAGAGCTGGACTGGAGCATCATCCATTGAATTTGGCAATCAGAATGTAATAAACATAATAAAACAATAAGGAAGCATTATTTCATAAATCTTATATATATTATACACAAAGGAGATGCCCTTGAGTAGCATTGCTCATGGTAGCATTGTTCAGAAGGCCAGCAGAATTGGCCTCATCTGGTCACTTGTCAGAAGTGTAGAATCTCTGCTGGGCACAGTGGCTCACACCTATAATGCCAGCACTTTGGGAGGCTGAGGCGGGCGAATCACCCGAGGTCGGGAGTTTGAGACCAGCCTGAGCAACATGGTGAAACTCCGTCTGTACTAAAAATACAAAAATTAGCTGGGTGTGGCGGCGCGCACGTGTAATCCCAGCTACTCAGGGCTGAGGCAGGAGAATTGCTTGAACCCGGTAGGCAGAGGTCGCAGTGAGCCGAGATCACGCCACTGCACTCCAACCTGGGTAACAGAGCGAGACTACATAAAAAAAAAAAAAAAAAGTATAGAATCTCAGGCCCCATCCCTTAGGCCTATTGAATCAGATTATGTAGCTGCACATAAAAGACTCAACAGCGGCTAGGTGCAGTGGCTCACGCATGTATTCCTAGCACTTTGGGAAGCCGAGGCAGGTGGATCATGAGATCAGGAGTTCAAGACCAGCTCTGGCCAAAATGGTGAAACCTCATCTCTACTAAAACTACAAAAATTAATCAGGTGCAGTGGCAGGCGCCTCTAATCCCAGCTACTCAGGGGGCTGAGGCAGGAGAATCGCTTGAACCTGGGCGGCAGAGGTTGCCAAAAAAAGAAGATTCAGAGACATTGCTTTATAGGTTTTGGTGAATGTTCCCTCTTCTTTTTTTCCCCCGGACACTACACAAATGTACCCTGCTGACCTTTTCTGTTCTTCCCTTTTCTTTTCTCTTTCTCTCTCTCTCTTTATTTTTTTCTTTCTCTTTCTCTTCCTTCACTCCCTCCCTTCCTTCCTTCTTCCTTCCTTCCTTCTTTCCTTCCCTCCTTCCCTCCTTCCTTCCCTCCTTCCCTCCTTCCTTCCCTCCTTCCTTCCTTTCTCTTTCTCTCCCTCTTTCTCTCTCTGTCTCCCTCTTTCTCGTTCTCTCCCCCTCTCTTTTTGTCTTTCTTTTTCCCATGCAGAGCTGCCTGTAGAAGACACTGGAGTTTTATTATTACACAAATCAGTCTCTTCCTGACTTTTTTGAGATGGAGTCTCGCTCTGTCGCCCGAGCTGGAGTGCAGAGGCATAGTCTCTGCTCATTGCAACCTCCACCTCCTGGGTTTAAGTGATTGTTGTGCCTCAGCCTCCCGAGTAACTGGTACTGCAGTCACACACCACCGTGCCTGGCTAATTTTTGTATTTTTAGTACAGACGGGTTTTTGCCATGTTGGCCGGTGGTGCTGAACTCCTGGCCTCAAGTAATCCACCCTGCTTGGCCTCCCAAAGTATTGGGATTACAGGCATGAGCCACTGCGCCCACCCACTCCTGCCTTTCTATAGCTGATACTTTCCAGTGGTCTATGCATTCTGCATTTGATTCTTTAACTCTTTCCTCAATGAAAACAATCTGGCTTTTTTCTACAGGAATGGAAGTTTATTCAGCAGATTTGTTAAGTTCATATGTTCCAAACATTGTTCTAGACACTTGGGATATATCAACGAGTGAACAAAACAGAAATTCCTGTCCATCCTAACTAGTTTCTCTTATGATCAAATTATAAAACTTCCATGAAGACAGTAATTTTATCTCCTCCCCTGTTTTCTGGTTGTTGTTTGTTTGTTTTTGTTTTGGTGTTTTTGAGCAGGGTCTTGCTCTTTCACCCAGGCTGAAGTGCAGTGGTGCAATCATAGCTCACTGCAGCTTTGATCTTCCGGGCTCAAGTGATCCTCCTGTCTCAGGCTCTCGAGTAGTTGGTACTACAGGCGCATACCACCACAGCCGGCTAATTTTTTAAATTTCTTTGTAGAGATGGGGTTACCACTGTGTTATAATATGTCCAAAAACCTGTTTTTCCTATTCTAATCTCAATAAGAACTGCCAAACAATTTCTGTGGGTTGGGGGAGTCCTCAAAGATCTCCTCGCTGCTTAATTTTTTCTGTATTTTGTCTAAAGATCTTTGACTTAAGGTGCTATTTCTTGTGCCAGTTTTTGTATTAAAATTCTTTAAATTGGTCGGGCGTGGTGACTCACACCTGTAATCCCAGCACTTTGGAAGTCCAAGGCAGGCGGATCACCTGAGTTCAGGAGTTTGAGAGCAGCCTGGCCAACATGGCAAAACCCCTTCTCTACTAAAAAATACAAAAAAAAGCCAAGCATGGTAGTGAGCTACTTGGGAGGCTGAGGCAGAAGAATCACTTGAACCCAGGAGGCGGAGGTTGCAGTGAGCCGAGATTGTGCATTGCACTCCAGCCTGGGCATCAACAGCAAAACTCCATCTCAAAAAAAAAAAAAAAAAAAAAGATTATTTAAGTTGCAGGAGAATAATTCATCTTGAGCTAGTCTAATCATAGTGGTGGTAAGATTTAGTGGATCTATTCCAGTACCTGGCACATCATAGACACTTTATAATATAAGTGAACGAGCAAAATTTGGTGGGTAAGTAATAGTGTCTTCATTTTACAGGTAAGAGAATTATAGAAACTTCTTGGGATCACCAGATTAATAAATATGGAATGAAGACCTAGAATTCAGAGACCTGATATCAAAATGAAACATAATTTAACTATCTTAATCAGGAGAGTCAAAGGTTGTGCTGCAAGAATAAATTAACCCCTAAATCTCAGTGGTTTAGTATAAGAAATGCTTATTATTCACTCATGAAGTTTCCAGTACTGGTTGGGTAACTGTTCAAGGTATAGTAAACTTTTATTATTTGTAATAGTTATGTTTTTTTTTTTTTTTGGGACAGAGTTTCGCTCTTGTTACCCAGGCTGGAGTGCAATGGCGCGATCTCGGCTCACCACAACCTCCACCTCCTGGGTTCAGGCGATTTTCCTGCCTCAGCTTCCTGAGTAGCTGGGATTACAGGCACACGCCACCATGCCCGGCTAATGTTTTTTTTTGTATTTTTAGTAGAGACGGGGTTTCACCGTGTTGACCAGGATGGTCTTGATCTCTTGACCTCGTGATCCACCCGCCTCGGCCTCCCAAAGTGCTGGGATTACAGGCGTGAGCCACCGCGCCCGGCCAATAGTTATGTTTTATAAAGTTGCTGCAAACAACTGTGCTAGTGACTACTGAATCACTGCTCCCAAGGGAAATACAGGGTTAGGTTCCTGTGGGCCTCTGGCCACAACATTTTCATCAACTGATCAACTGTATAACCGTGGTTTTCTTTGTGTTGTTGTTTATAGACACTTTATTTAATATATGTTGTTGATTCATTAACGTTGAACTCATGCCAACAGCACTGTGACTCATGCCTGAATAAAGCTTTCCTAGCACACATTTTCTCTATAAGGCACATTACAGCCTTCTTGCACTAAAGAACACCACACAACACTTTGGCATTAAGTTTAAGGGTTATTTTAAACAGTGAAATCACCAACAAGTAGCCCAAAAATGCAAAAAGTGCATCATTAGATAGACAACCAAAAAGACACTAATATTTACACCATGAGAGCTGCCACAAGAAGGCAGAGCATTGCCTTGTTCCACCTCAGCGGAGAACGTATCAGGTGACTCAAACTTGTCACCTCTCAATACAAGCCTGTGAATGACCTCAATAGCACTATAAGTATTGATTTTGGGTTGCAAACACATTCAGTGACTAGGCAAATCTACAAATATATAACTCACAAATGACAAGGACTGACTATAAATGCTGTGGCAATTTGGAGCCTCGGGCTATTTTGACCTTGTGACACTGCCATCTCAACATTTAGTTTCTAGGTTTCCTCAATAGGGAATAGATTTTTGGAGGCTCATTTGCTGGCTCTTAAAGTCTTTGGTCGACCACAGTCCATTGAACAGAACTAATCACCTGAGCCCATGTAACTGCAAAAGATCTGGGAAATGTGAGGAATACCTAGGTATCTAGTAAGCAATAAATATTACAGACCAAGACCCTGTCTCTAAATAAATAAATACATAAAAATAAAACTGTGATCCTAAGTGAAACTTCTAGGACAGAGAACATTAATAATGTAGTTCAATGTGTGGATTTGGGGGAGAAAATGGGGAAGGGTTCTAGGGAAAGAAAGAATAAAAGTTTGGGCGTAGCCTCAGTGTTGAGTTGTTATTTAGAGCTGGTGTCAAGTGAAGGCATTTGGGGAGATATAAATGGAGAATGGAAAAGACGTCTAACCCTGGCCTGGGGCAGTGGCTCAAGCCTGTAATCTCAGCACTGTGGGAGGCCGGGGCAGTCAAATCACTTGAGGTCAGGAGTTCAGGACCAGCCTGGCCAACATGATGAAACCCTGTCTCCACCAAAAAATATAAAAATTAGCCATGCATGGCGGTGCATGCCTGTAGTCTCCAGCTACTCAGGAGGTTGAGGCAGGAATATTGCTTGAACCCAGGAGGCAGAGGTTGCAGTGAGCTGAGATTCTGCCACTGCATTCCAGCCTGGGTGACAGAGTGAGACTCTGTCTCAAAAAAAA